GGTATGGCCGGAACTGAAGCAACTCGAGGCTTGAGTCGCATTGAGCGAGAAAAAGCAGGTTCAAAGGGTGGGATAACTCGCTTGATCTTTCTGGCTGCTATCTTTGCACCTCCTGGCAAAAGTACTAGTATCGATGTCTAAGTTGTGGGCTAGAAGTGTTATTTGCAGTTGAGATTTGTGGCTGTGAGCTTATTCTAGCAGAGAGAACCTAGTCTATTGTAATAACAAGCTTACCCATCTGTCGTCCAGCTTTCATATCGTCGAAAAGCCCATCAATGTCCTTGAGGTTACTCAGGCCTTGCACTACTCTACTGATGACTGGTCGGATCCCTTCGCGGTCGACGAAGGCAACCATATCCCGAAACTCTTGCCTAGAACCCATTGTAGTTCCTTTCAACTCCGCATTCAGAAGAACAGCTGGCATAGTCCAATTCATCTTCGGTGAGATAGTCATACCATATTGAACAATAACGCCACCAGGTTTAAGAAGCTTTACAGCTTTGACAACGATATCACCGCCCGCACCATCAATGATGGCATCGATAAAAGGTCTTGATGGCGGAAGCTGACGGCGAATATCTGCCTCCCACTTCTCCAGCTTGTAAATCGCACCGCCTTGTGCACCCAAGCCTCTAGCTCTAAGGAGCTTTTCTTCACTGCCAGATGTAACGAAGACGTTGGCACCCATAGCCACGCCGAACTGTAAGGCTGAGAGAGCAACGCCGCCTCCAATACCGGTAATGAGAACGTTCTGTCCTGGCTGGACAGCAGCTTTGGTGACAAGTGCCCTCCATGCTGTAAGTCCTACCAGTGGTAGAGCCGCACCCTCCGTGGCAGACAGGTGTTTTGGGGCCGGAACAACCTCGTCCTTGTGAGCGCACACATAGTCTTGCGCTGTGCCTACGTCATAGAGACTTGTAGACCCGGTAATGGACCATTTTTTAGAGTCCTCTGGGCCAGCCGGATCAGATTTCCAGCCACGCATCGGAGTCAGGAGTACGTTTTCTCCGAGTAGGGACTTATTAGAAACACCTCGCCCGACTTCAGTAATCACTCCATAACCGTCCGATAACATGGGGTTGTCGAGGGATATGGCGGGGTACTGATGTTGTCTAACGAAGAGATCACGATGGTTCAGAGCCGCTGCTTTGAGCTGGACGAGGACCTCATGGTCTCCAGGCACAGGCTTCTCAGTCCTTTTGAGCTGGAGACTGCCGTTGGCATCAGTGCTGGAAATCGAATTACTGTCAGAAAGCGTGATGAAACTTACGGGTAGTAAATTTCCCCTGGCTTTCCTGAAGCCTGGCCGAGATGCAATATACGCTGTAGAGCGGCTCTTGATTCTTTGGATGCCTTCAACATGTCGTCGCGCTGACAATTGTTTATCGGGAGCAGTTTGTGCATATGATCTCACAGTCCCAGATCAGTCGTCAGTCACTCTTAAAAATCGAAGCGTTATTGTTGCCGGACCGTACCCATTACGAACATCGGATGATGCTGGGTGGGGACGGTCCGACCGTCGTGTTTGTCTAGGAATCTGGGGTCTTGGAATGAGATCAGCCGTTAAGCCTTGAAGTGGACCAACTCTTGATGTAACCGGGTAAGGTCGCGAGGAGCCAGTCTTTATTAATTCCATTATGGAAAAAACTTATGTATGTAATCTGGTATCTCTATAATAAGCAAGCAAGAAGACCGTTCCAAAGCTAAACGGGAAAAGAGTTTCATTCAATCACAATGCATATCCGAAGCTGCCGAATAACAAAAACGAGCCAATTACAGTACCAGATATAGGAACCTGAATGCTACGACGGGGTAAAGTCGGCACCTCATTCCGACAAGAACAGCAGTCGTTGTATTTAATCGCAGCGACAATGAGAAGAGTTCAATTTCAATAGATCGCTGTGATCTCTCCATTTCAATTGAAGTATCTCGGCCGTACCCATTGCATCATTCCTCACGGTACTTGTAAACGAGCCAAATCGTCATGTCTATTGTAGAATCAGTGTATGAGCCCTTGGGTGGCCGAGTATTGATTTATGGAATTATACTGGTAGTCGTAAGTTTGTGATACTTATCGTCGCTGAATATCGAGACTGTGCATCTGGCAGTCCGATCGTTCAACGTTGACTGACGCATATACATTTCTAGGTTCTGTTCCAGATTGTGCGCTACTTCCTTTCTCCAATTCACCGTCTCCCTGGTCCCGTCACGGCCAAGTTATCGACCTTCTGGCTCGCATCACAATGCCAAAAAGTCCGACGATCCGAGGAAGTACTAAAGTTGCACCGGAAGCACGGCGACTTTGTTCAAATTGCGCCCAATCATGTGTCAATCAATACCCCCGATGCGATTCAACAGATATATGGCCATAAGACCGGATTTGTCAAGGGCCCCTTCTACGATGCGTTCCACCAGGTGACACCAGTAGTCTTTAATACCAGAAATGTCACAGAGCACACACGAAAGAGGAAGTATATCAATCCCGCATTTTCCGCTCGTGCTTTGTCGGGCTTTGAGCCTCATATGGATGCTGAGATTGTTGCATGGAAGCGCCAACTACTTAAGATTTCCAGCGGATCAAGCCCACGTGTCGACTTTTCTGTTTGGAGTGAGTTTGACACATCGGCACCGACATAAATGTTTACTAACGCCGCGTGCCGCAAACAGCAAATTACCTGGCCTTTGACGTTATTGCTAGCTTCGCCTTTGGTGAGCACTTTGGCTTCGTTGAGAAAGGCGAAGACGAGTATGGTCTCATCAAGATCATTGACACCCGCGGCGAGTTTATGAACGCCCTTGGATCCCTTTCGCCTTTCCTGAGATCTGTGATGAGGTACAATCCTTTTGACTCATTCTGGAAAAATGGATTCAGGGCATCAGCAGGCCTTGCAAAGATTGGAAAGGAGGCATTCGAGAAGCGAAAATCCTCAGCTGATAATAGCCGAAAAGACTTACTAAGCTTCCTCTTCAATGCTAAAGATCCGGATACGAAGCAACCAATCCCAGAAGACGAAATCATTGCCGAGTCCATCAGCTTTATCGTTGGCGGAAGCGATACAACGAGTAGCACCATGACCAACTTTATCGACTTTGTGGCTCGTGATGAGGACTTGCAGCTACGGATCCAACAAGAGATGGACATTATATTCCCAGGTGAGCCATCTGATGACTGGGTGCCGAGTGAGAAAAAGTTGAACGACCTGTCTTTATTGCTTGCAACTTTGAGGGAAGTCATGCGTTTTCGGCCAACCAGTGCCACTGGACTAGAGCGAGTGACGCCACAAGGTGGAAAGCCCATAGCCGGACAGTTCATACCAGCGGAGGTAAGTCAATAAAGGTGAACAGACCTTGGACTCTACTGACCACAAGACTAGACATTAGTTAGCGTCCCAACCTTGGGCGTCATGATGGATCCAAGGATCTTCGAATCACCCGAGACATTCAGACCAGAACGGTGGCTTGAACCAGGGGCGGATGAGCTTATGGAGTACTTTTACCCATTTTCAACGGGACCAAGATCATGCATCGGAAGAAAGTTAGTCAGTCATCATCCCCAGTAACGTTTTGCATACTAATGGCCGCAAGCTTTGCATGGATGGAGATCTTGAAGGCAGTAGCGGTTGTGTTTAAACTATTTCATGTCAAGAGAATCAACCCGAACCCTACAGTGATCAGAGAAGGTTTCTTCAACAAGGCTGTTGAATGTGAAGTCGAGATGCACAAGAGGCGCTTCAATTAGGGCATGTGAAAGGTAATTGAGATTTAATACAAGGCTCGAGCTATCCGCTTAGGTTCATGATATGCACTAATTAAAACACCACCGAATTCAATTCAACGAAATGAATTTTATCCTAAAAGTAGACATGGGTCTAGTAAGCAGCCGTTCTGTTTCTATCAACATGAGCTTTCTTGACGTGCTGCTCCTTGACGCGATGTTCCTTGTAACGGTCACGAACTTCGTGGAATGCTGCGGTAATGGCGTGGAGGATGCTGTCGAGAATTAGTTGCTGTACTGAAAAATTTACAGATACGAACTTACGTGCTGATGATGGCAAGAATGAATGTGCCCCAAGGCAGATTGCAGCTTTCATCCGATGAGTCGGCGTTGATTCCAAAGGTGCTCGAGAAACCCTCAGTTCTGTAGCAATGACGTGGGCCAGCCATGCCACCATTAGGGCGAGTAAGAACAGAGACGGCGATGAAAGCTCCGACAAAAGCAATATCCAACAGCACCCAAAGCCAGCGCAGCCATCTCGGACCACCGCCCTTGAGAAGCAGTGACATCAGCATCGCAATAAGCGTGTACAGGACAGCAGCTGCAAGGATGCCTTCAACAGCGCCATAAGAACTGTTCACACCACGACGCGTCTTGATTGCATTGACGAGATTATAGACCTTGCGGAGACGGGCTGAGAAGAGTCCAAGGGAGATGACAGCGGAGAGGAATTGGACAACGCGTGTAAGGCGCAGGAACCAGCGATAGAGGCGGGAATGTTTGAGCCTATCAGGAACCCAGCGAGTCAATAGACCTGTCTCGCGGCTGCGATCATAAGTGGTGCCGTAATCGGTGGGAACACCGCGGTTGTCGTAGTGAGCCATGGTGATGCGGTGAACAAGTTGAATTAATGGGCTCTCTAGCTGAGGAGGATATAAGATGGAACACAGAAGTGAAGGAGATGATCTTTTTCCTGACAATTGATGCTTAATTATAATTTTCGTAATCTATGCGAGACGTCATAATGTCACACAAGTCAAGGCATCACATTCCCAACCCTGTGACATGGCCAGCCCGTCACCGTCGTCATGGATTAGAGATTCAGCCTCATAATGAGACCTCAGCCACAAAATTTATTTCTTGTGTTTCAATTTGATCAGCCAAGACGCGGGAACTGCCTTGTTTTAATATCTGTTGCAGTTGGACGCGCCCTTACTTGAAATCCACTTTATCTGGAAGAAATGCTCCGGGCGGGTGCCGAACGGCTTGGCTTACGATTTACAGTGTCACCGGTGACGATTTTCCCGATTCGATGCTTCAAAACCGGATATTATTAGAGTTGAGTTAGGCCCGGATTGCAGATCTTTTAATTAATCGTCCACTCAGAATCATTCCCAGGTTCACCTACATGTTGTCTCTATACTGACCTCATGCAGAGGCAACGAGATAGAAAAGCCTGTCTCTTGAAGTAGCCAGATGACGCTGGTTCAAATAATTCTCTGCTGCGTTTTCTTTTTCACTCCGTAATTTATATGTATCTCTCCGTATCGGAAATGACTGACAAAGTTGCCTCTGCTGATTTAACCTCTCAGCCACAAGGCTCAACTGCAAATGAAACATCTGGCTCGGTACATGACTCGCATGTACAAAGAAATGTGACTCTCAGAGGCAATCCAAGAAGTCGCGTAGGATATTCTCCTCGCTTGCAAAGCCTTGCTGGCCAATCTCTCGCAGAATGTCCTCGGCTCGCTTAATAAGCCCATCCGCGTTGGACAAGTCCCTCCCTTCTACTGCCTGGTCTTCGTCCTTCACCAACTTCTCCCCCTTTGGCGAGATTTGTCGAATCTTGCGTCGTAGCTCATTCCACGTTGAATTGTGACAGTACGCAAATACCCGCTCGTTCGCGAGTGAAGGGAGGGCTACTGCAGCAACCAAAAGACGTGCAGCATCCTGAACATCAGTGTAGTATGCTACGAGATTTGTCAGTTTATACTGCTGGTAGTGGCTGATAAGATGGAATGCCTACCAACTGAGCCAAAGACCTTATCCCATTCACCTTCAGCCGCTGCTTTCAACATGCGGAAGGTAGAAGTAGTGTTTCCTGGATCCAAGGCCCTTCCAAACTGGCCATCAGGTACAACACAGTTTGCAACAAAGGGAGGCTGGTTCGTGCCAACCCATGACCAGAACGCCAATTCTGCCAAAGCCCGACTGGCGCTGTAGACGTCCACGAATCTATCGAAGCCATCGACATTTGGTTCACAACAGGCCTTCATGATGGCGTCGTAGTTAAACATGGCTGAAGTTATATGGTGCGGATGGTTATAATTGGTAAATTCAACTGCTTTGGAGCTGGAACTGAGAACGTAGCGCTTCACTCCAGCACGAGCTGCGGCTTCAAGACTATTGGTAGTCCCTTTGACCACAGGCTCTACCACCTTCGCAGGGTCTGCGTTCAATATGATCGGTGTCGAAACGTAGATTACGCCCTTAGCCCCTGCGATACAGCGATTAAATTCAGTCGTGGAATAGAACATAGGGTGCCCTCTTACCTTTGAAGGCCTCATCAAATGCGCCTTCAGCTTCAAAGTCAGACACCTGAACCAGCTCAAACTTTTTTGGCCACTCGGTATCAAACAAGTTATGCATCCACTGTAGGTTCTTCTCCACGTCTCTCACAGTTCCTCGGACGAAGAAGCCTGCTTGGAGGAGCTTTTCGCACGTCTCAACACCCATGTAGCCGTTAGCCCCAATGACTACAACGACGGAGCCAGATGGAATTGCAGGATTAGAAATGAGCATTGTGATAACTTGGGTTGGGATGTAGAACGATGAAATGAATTGGCTTGATCTCGAGAGTTTCTTATACAGTTATGCCATGATCTATAATGCTTCTATATAAGCTCTTTGTTAAAATCGATTCACATGAAATCAAAATGTCACACAGCTTGGTATTATTCAGCTCTGCTTTGTAATTGTGATATCTTATAACTTAAAAGCCCAAAATAAGACTCAACTTCTAAGCTTGGTCACGAATGAGGTTAGCGTTGCGCGCATGTCGCGATTGTAGTGGAACCCCAAGATCACATTATAACCCGCCACAAGAAACTATTAATCTGTCCACTCAATATCCGCGCCATCTTCTACTTCTTCCAGGAGACTCAAGCGGTTTGCTTGTGAAGATTATGTCGATATAGCCCACCATATATAAGAAAGTTTCTTGAATAATAGAGCGGCGTTTATCGGCTCACTTGCCTATTGCAGAACAATATTTGGCAATTGCTGATCCTCTCTGTCCCAAGGGAATCCATTGGCCATAAGATCATCAGTTGACCTCTCGGTTTCCATGACTACTGTACATTGGTATTCGCCAACACTCATGCTGACAATCCGATACAGGCCTCTCGCTATATGCTTAGTGACCTGTATAACTGCGTGGTGTATATGTTTGTTGGTTCCGGTTCGAATTGTACGAAAGTTTGAATCAAAATTGAGATTGATGTAGGTAACATCGACTCTGTAAATTATTGAGCCAAACTCTGGAGCTTGTCCAGGTGGCCATGAAGCCGGATTGGTTGAGGGGTCAACTGTGTAGATAACTCTATTTGGGTTTGCCATATTGCTCGGCTTTCTTTAATAAGTTGATTAATAAAGAGGTATTGAGGGTTTACTTTAGGATAAAAGTGATAAGAGAAAAGATATAAATTTATTTACAAATTGACAGCAGTATGATAAACTTAAGAGTAACTAATGGTATTAATGCCGCAAACAGATAGCTACTATTCCTGTTAAGGAAGTGTGCATGGCCTAGTGTGTTTCACGGACCTCGGCGCTGTAAAGTTCTCTGTTATCACTATCATCTTATCCAGTCAGTACATGCACCCTATGCTATTCTGCCGATCTCAAACACTACTCTTAGCACCAGACCAATCCCGCTGCTGCTTCTGGGGCCGTGAGTAGCAAGGGTGTGGAGTTGTATCTGTCTACAGTTGCCCTGGAGTATATCACATGAAGAGAGTAATACAAAGTGCTAACAACCAACATATCTCATCACCTGTCTAAGCTGAGCAACTTCTCTGTTTTCCGCTTTTGGCATGGACATATCACACTGCATTAAGCTAACGACCAAGTAAGCTTTTGTGACTGATATATGCTTTTGTTAGTTGCTAGTCTGATGCACAACGGCACGCTTTTGCCGAAAGGCAAGGTCAGAAGGGCAGGATATGGGCTAGGTTGACCTAAAATTTAGATATCTCAAAAGTTCACTTCTGTTATTATATCCAATTGTGATTGCCAGCTAATGGCACTGAAATGAGTTCAAGAGTAAGGTTTTAAAAGACCCTAGATTACTGACGATAAGAGATTGAAATGCTGGCCAATTTGGCTCGGGGCTTGCTTTAGATAACGGAAATGACGCTAAGATAGACACCCTAGGTCAGGGTGATCCGACCGTGAAAAGCTACTCAGACAATCACGCAGCAAGCAACAACCAACAACGACCAACCCATCATGTCTGTTCTCTTACGAGCTTTATCCCGGGTCAGTCGGCATGTCATTTCAACATGTGGGGCAATCGGGAGGCCACATTCTCAACTGTCTTTACGGCTCGAAATTGGAAACTGCTCAACCAACAACTAACAACCAACAACTAACAGCAGCTATTGGCTGTTCTTTTACGAGTTTTGTCTCGGATCTATCGGCATATAAGATACTCGTAAGAACACATACTTGTCGCTCTGTATAGCCAATAAATAAGACCAGTTCTTTATCTCTCAGCAGAGAGCCAACTCAGGACCTGTTTATAAAAGAGGCAGCAGCCATCATATCAAAGCACAAGCTTCTCACACAAGCTCATTGTATCAAGCAACCTTTAGTAAGATACACTGAGCTAAAATATATCGCTGGTTAACATATTATTAGAACCACTTTCTTCAACATGTTCGGCAATCGCGGCCCTCAGAATGTAATCCTCATACTTGCTATTCTAGGGAGTATGCCAGGTAGCATGGTCGTCAGTTTGCCTGTTATTCCGGCTAAAGATAGTAAAACCAATGTCGACTCAGCAGATCAAATCTTCTACGCTGTACGATGCCATGCCGACACCTACGTTATAGCGCACCATTGTCAGGCTCGCTGCAACGGAAGGGCTCATGTACTCATCAATGAGACCCGATGCCCAATCGGATCAGATAATGCTGACGATATCTTTTCGGATTGTTACTGCACTCCAGAATGTGTGCCTTGTAAGGAGGAGGGTGAAGAACAGGCTAAAGAGGACGTGTCCGTTCCTGAGTGAGCTGGATCTGACATATATCATCTCACAGGTCTAGGCCATTAGTAGAACATATCTAGATGCTGAAAAATAACAAGTTCAGAGGTGTCTCTTTCAAGACCCGGCTATATACTATATAGAGCCGTTGTTTGGCGCGTGACCCAAGCCATAACCTTACCCAGAAGGAAAGCGTCGTCCTCGTGCTGAAATCGGACACGTCCCCCATAATCTTGGCGACCTTAGGCCCTGCAAATGTAATCTTGACCTGGCTTTGATCGCCCCATTAGACGATGGAGCCAAATGCGTATAGACTGGCTGAACCGTCTAGCCCATCTGTGAATTGTGTAGCCGACCAGCTTCCAACACCATATTTGCCCCATCGCTCTTGGATGAGAGGCATGTGTTTGGATACATAGTAGCTAAAATTGTATTTGGCATCCGGCTCGTTGGGAAAAAGGACAATAACAGTGAAGGTCATGCTGATAGTTATTTTGACCACGATAGTTAATAGGGCAAACTTAATCCCGATAAGCTTACTTGTTTATTGATAAGCTTACTTGTTGTTTTATACCCCTGTAGTATCAATGTCAATTTTAGTTAAGTCCGACAGGTAAACTCCACCACCTAAGTCATTTCTGAACATCTCGGCGGCTACATGACCGAATAATTACTTGTCGATCAGGTCAAGTTAACCGCGCTCCGAGACTATAATTGCGAAAGGTGATGCATTGCTTGACGCCATGTCTGTCCTCCGTGGCCTTTTAACAATAGTTCCTCTGTTGATCTCTCAAAAAATGCGACCTTCCGTTCTGGGGTGCATCGGCCAATAAACCATTTAGGAAGCTGTGCCAAGTCTGATAGCCAAGACCCAGTCCCGAACGTATCGCGCAATATATCCCGCCAATAACTCAGTATGCCAAGGAATGGCAATGGCACCTAGAAACCGTTGTATGATAGTCCTCATACGACTATAAATCGAAGCCACGGGCCTTTGAATATCCTCTCTCGATATCAACTCCTTCACACCTTCTCCAACTCTCTGCCACCTTGTCAACAATGGCCAGCCTCGTTCGTCTCGCTCTCTACCTGGGAGCTTTCCTGCCTGCTGCACTTGCTGCCCCAACTGCACCCAGCAAGGGCTCAGATGTGATTCCTGGGAAATATATTGTCACCCTCAAGTCCTCTGCCTCCTCTGCCAAGGTCGAGTCTCACCTTCAGTGGGTTGGTGATGTTCACCGCCGCAGCCTGTCTAAGCGTGACACTGCTGGTATCGAACATACCTTTAACATCAAGAACTGGAATGCCTACGCTGGGCAGTTCGATGAGGACACTATTAAGGAAATCGAGGCCAGCCCCGAGGTAAGCTTCAACAATCAAACATGAGACTCCTGCTTACAAGAAACAAGGTTGCTTTCGTCGAGCCTGACAAGGTTGTCAAGCTGAGCTTCGAGCAATCCAGCGAACTGTCTGATAGGGCCCTGACCACCCAGTCAGGAGCTCCTTGGGGTCTCGGAACGATCTCTCACCGTACCTCCGGTTCCACGAGCTATATCTATGATACGTCAGCTGGTGAGGGCTCTTATGCCTATGTCGTCGACAGCGGTGTTTTGATCTCTCACTCCCAGTTCGGTGGCCGTGCTGTCGCCGGTTATAGCATCTTTTCAGGAGCTAACACTGATACCCTTGGACACGGCACCCATGTTGCTGGCACTATTGCAGGCTCAACCTATGGTGTTGCGAAGAAGGTCGGTGTGTGTAGCTATATATAACAGGCCAATACTAACGTAAACAGGCAAACATTGTTTCTGTCAAGGTCTTCCAGGGAGCAGAGGGAACTGATTCTGGTGTTCTCGCCGGTTTCAACTGGGCTGTCAACGACATTACCTCCAAGGGCCGCGCCGGCAAGGCCGTTATTAACCTTTCTCTTGGTACGACACATCTCCCCGTTTTACTAAGTCCTCTCACTGACGGCTAGTCTAGGTGGTGACGCATCCCAGGCTTGGGTAACTGCTATTGACGCTGCGTACAACTCAGGTGTGCTCTCTGTTGTCGCTGCTGGAAACGGTGATGAGGATGGAAACCCACTACCTGTATCGAGTCAATCCCCTGCCAACGCTGCCAACGCCATCACTGTTGCTGCTCTCACCTCTGCCTGGAGACCTACTTCATTTACAAACTACGGTATGATTATCCCTTTCCTTTTTGAGTCCAAGAAATGATTAACTGACTATTTGAAAGGCGCTGGTGTTGATATCTTTGCTCCCGGCCAAAGCATTTTGTCTGCATGGATTGGCTCAAACAGCGCCACTAACTCTATCAGTGGTACATCGATGGCTTCTCCTCATGTTGCTGGTCTTGCCCTCTACCTTAAGGTCCTCGAGGGTCTTACTACACCAGCTTCTGTAGCAAGCCGAATCAAGGCCCTTGGAACATCCGGAAAGATTACTGGTACTCTCTCTGGCAGCCCTAACCTGATTGCCTACAATGGCAACGGCGCTTAGATCTGATAGGGTACGGCAAGGCAACATAGCTCTGACTAGACTACTATGAGTTCTTACAACACTGTGGAGTATGATTGAAATAAAGACAGGGTAGACTACTGGCAAATTATCCCCTACACTTGCCAATAAATTTAAGGCCAGAACCAATCATAGCACGGCCCAGAGTAACAGATATATATCCAATCGTGACTCAAGAAGAATCTACTATAAATAAATTATTTCAGTCAAGGTCCAGTCAATTAAGTAGAGAGGTTCATGATCAATCAGCCTTTGATATAATTTTCAAGTCTGAAAAAACATTACAAAAGTAGAACTGATTGTTTCCATGGCGTAAGTCCATATCGTGTGCGAGGCGCGTGATGTGAGCTATCAGCTGTGGGGACTATTAACTCAAGATAACATAAGACGTCCACGTCAACTGATTCAGAATGGCATTCACCGAGAATTGAGTCCCTGCACATAACACTAGTAGCAACAACTGCAGCCAGAACAGGCACCAATCTCCCCCTGGCCTCTGCTAAATTGATACCTCTGTTGTAGATCTCTAAATCAGCTCGCTTGTAAGTTACAAACCAACTGCATCTGAAAAAGTTCCCAGTTCATTTACTAAACTATTTCTTTGCCTATAACCCATAGCTTTGAGCAACAATCATGAGGCAAACCTGAAATCAAGCCTTTTGTTTCCTTGGTCAGTTGTTGTCTTGAGATAATTAATTCTCTCCTCTCTGCTCATTTTTTCCCAGATTTTGTCTCTCTTATTGTTTTCCCTGACATAGTAGATCTTGATAAAGATATAGATCAAGATGTTATAACCCAAGACTCCGAGCAGCGCTTTGTTTCCAGTATAGTAGTATGGGGCGTCGCTCTTACGGTAGATCTGTGAGGATATAATGCTTGACATTTGAACGCTCATGTTATAGAGCGAAGAGCCAACAGTACGTGTACGGACAGACCCGGCATTGCGGGACGTCAAGGCCACAAGAATCGCATGAGGGTAGGGAGCGCCAACAAGAAGGGTAGAAAGAGTCCATTTTGCCCATTTCCATCCTGGAAAGATAGGAGGCAAAACGACAAGCGAAACCAGAAGTGGCAAGGACCATAGTTGGCCGATGACACCGAGAAGAACACGCTGGTTAATCCTTTCGGAAACCCAGGTCCAGAACAGTAGCTGTATAATGAACAAGGTATATGCCGGGATCGTAAGGAGGTTGGTATGGAAAGTATCGAAACCAAGAGCCTTGCACGTGAGTGTGATGTATGCTTGGGGAGGCGCATTAGGGATACCCCAGGAAAGGCCGATGAGATAGATAGGCCACATGTGGTAGTCCGTGAGAGCTTCCCAGATCAGGCTGCCTGTTAAGCCCTGACGATTGTGCATGGTGGCCTTGCCAGGATCATCCCGAAGAACTCGTGTAACCATGATGATCTCTTCGCGTTCAGAGAACCATCCAGACCTGGGTCGAAGTAATCCTTTCCAGCCTGTTCGAGAAGTCTGCGTGGGTGACGGCGGTAGGTAGAAGAAGGTTAATATGCCGATCAGCGCAGTAAATGAGCCCTCAATCACGAACAGATATCTCCATCCTTCGTGGAGCCCACTATGGCCCCGGAGGTGGAGAATACCGTATGCCAAAAAGGCACCAATAATCTGGGTGCCTTGATATGATGTCCAGAACCAACTGAGGCGCCTGGGAAGCTCGACATTCTTGTAGAAATATGAAAGATAAAGAATAGTGTCTGGGATGAAGCCTAAAAGGTATGCAAGTCAGCGGCTCATGATGCCAAGTGAGTTTGAGCCAGGACAAGAGCGCCATCCTGTGTTGATTTATAGTTACCTCCTTCAAGCATCCCAAGTAACCAGCGACAGATAAAGAAGCTGGTCTTTCCCTGAAGCGCGGCTTGTGACATTGCTACGACACTCCATAGCACCATCTGGATAGGGATCCAGACGTCTGGTCCAAGCTTTTTGCCAATGACTTGTGACGGGAGCTCTGCGAATAAGAACGAACAGTAAAATATGGTCATGCCATTGTTGTAGTCATTTGTTGTGAGACCGAGATCATCTGAAAGAGTTAGCGCCAGTAATATATAAACTGACTCTCGACAGTGAGCTTACTTAGCATGCCATCTGAAAGAGCTTGGACAATGTTGCCACGGTCCAGCTGCAGAGCAAAGAACATGATACAGGCCGGAAGTGCGATAAACCAGTCAAGCTACTATTGGCATTATTATCGCTATTCATTGAAAACTTGTCACAAAAGATACATACCCGTCTTACCAGCTTCTCCTCTTCCTGGGATTCCCAAGTCGCAGAAGGCTCGAAACGGTGGGCACCTTCGAAGCCATCCACGATCTTGTAAATATCCACAGCTTCAGGCGGAGAAAATACATTATGATGATTGCTCATAGTGTCAGTGTGTAGGGAAGCGGTTTCCGAGCCTGTCGAGTACCCTTCGTCGACTGGTACGTGGCTGACATCTTTGCCGAAGAGATGGTACCATTTTCGACGCTTGGTAGGTTGCGTCG